GGGAGCAGTGCTGCCCAGCAGTCGGTACTCTGTCTGACCTCTTCTGTTGTGATGACCTTCATTTTTCCATCCTAAAGTGACGTTTGCCCCTTCCATGGTGGTACCGCAGCCTCCCTGGGGTCAGTTATGTGCAGACTTCCCTCCTCGTTTCCAACCGTTAAAGCTCCGGGCTGCCCAAAGTTTTTATTACTCTCCAAGCCACTTTTGTTTCACTGAATTTTTTTCTGTATCTGTTACTCATCAAACCCGTGCGATCTTTTCCAGAGGCTAGGCCAATCCTCCTTGTCTTGGCAGGGTTTCCCAACTCTGAGCTGTCAACCGACAGATCTTGTCAGTGCAGCTTTACCTTCTGTGTAAGTGTTACTTGTTAAAAGACGGGGTCAGGATGGCGTCGGAGTTCATCCTTGACATGACAATCCCCGGTAGTAACCTCTGTCTCAGCTTGACTTTATTCCTTGACACTGCTAATACGCAGATGTTTTGAGCGTGTTTCTTGGGAATATTCCAGAGTATTTAATGTTTTATCGCTTTCAAATTGCAGCGACCAGAAGCACTGCCGTATCTAGGAGGGAGTAGGCAGTTTTAGTAATAGTGCTTCATTATTAACTGAATGTATAGTATCAAAAATCGGGGGGTTTGGTGCAGGAGTATCTATCAAATTGCTTTTTTAAATAGTCCTACCAGTCAAACAGAATACTTGCACAATTACACCTGTGATACTGATTAACAAGAGCGATGTCCTGACCGTTCCATCAGCAGATGAGGTCAGGATCTCCTGAATTTGGCCAGCCTCAGCAGGGCTAAACGCACGTCTGACGGGTCACTTCGAGAAAAGTTGTGGACACTTTTTGATCGCCCCAGGTGATGCTGCTGGGCCATTTCTGATCAAACCACCGCTGGCATCCACGTGACTTGGGACTGAGTTTTCATAGCACGGGGCCTTGAGCTAACGGCTCTTTTCCCAACCTGTCCTTTCCTTGGAGCCTCTCTTCAGCTGGAAATGTGGTGGGCTAGTATTTTTGATACGTGATGGTTTGCATTTTGTCATTATCTCCTGTTTAGGTGCCTTGACCTGCCCTGATTCAAGTCTCAAAACCAGGGCACTAGCACAGAATTTCTTCTGTGAATTGTCTCTTTACGTTTTTCCTCCACCCCCTCCCAACCTGCGCATTCTCACCCATATGGTTTTTTACTAAAAAATGATCTGAGTCTTCAGTTCTTTTTTTTTTTTTCCCATTTTGTTTTTTTTCTTGGTTTTGTTTTAAAACCCCTTTCCATCATGCCTCTGGGCAGCTACTACAGTTTGCTGGTGCCTGGTTGTGTAAGCACCAGCAAGTTTTTGGCAGTTCCTAAAACAAGATTTCCCTTTGTACTATTACATTCTGTATCACGACGTTTTTGGCAGCGTAGAGGAAAATAAGTTGGAAATGGATCTTTGCGACTTTCTCCTTTGCTATATTACTTTTCTGTCCCGTTTCACTGCGGTTCCTCTGTTTCATGCTTGGTAAAGTTATTTGGGAAGTTGTTTTCTCAAATTCTTCCGCTCTGAGGAAAGGCACGCGGAGGCTCGGTGTGCTGCTGTAGCCGGATAGAATATTTGTGCCCTTCTCCTGCTGTCGCGTGGGTAAAATGAAGACGGCCACTACCAAAAACCTGATGGTGCGGGCTGTCGCCTCTTCAAACACGGAATGATTTCTGTTGACAGCGTTACCCTTGCGCACTGTGAAGGATCAATACTTTGAGACGAAGCTGCCCCCGTAGGTACTTTGTGGTTAGGTCCGTCAACAAAGTACGACTACGCAGCACTGCGAGTACTTAACCGTAACTGTGTTTTGTTACAACAGATGATCTGTCACAGCTTGTCCACTATACCTTCACAAAGTCAGTGTTTTGACATTCTCCAGACTGGCATCTGTAAATACCTGGTAAGTACCATTTTCTCTCCCAGGGTAACTTCCTTGTGATCGATTTTTCTAACAAGTCTCATTAACCCGCAAATCCACTTACTCCATATATTTCATGTGTCGTTTCTGCATTTGTGAAAGTTTTCAACAAATTAGCAGAGTTTAAAAAATATCTAATAACTGTTGGTATCCAAACCTACGTGGATTTTTTTTTTGCTTGCTCTGATTTGCCAGTAGTTCAGCTTGCTCTAGAGCCAGGACAGCCATAAACGAATGGGTGGTTTAGTTTACTTTTCAAGAGAGCGACTAGCAGGTTCAGCCAAGTGTTAGTTTGTTGTCTTCTAATCCCGAACGCTCCCCGAGCCAAGGATGGGGAAGGCAAAGCCAGAACCGCAGGGGCCAGACCGTGCAGTTCCCCGTGGTGCTGCCTGCCGGGAGGGAGGATCCCTCTGTCCTCTGCCGAGATGCCACAAATACCCGCGGTTCCCTCTGTGGAGCCCGACTGAAATATTACCAACCCAAAGCTTCGGTGGGGAGTGGCTCACCTCTAACGGGAGTCTGGATTTTTGGGGGTGGGTGTTGACTTGAATCACAACTTTGACATCAGCTTACGCGTTCTGCTGCGCCGGCCCTTTGAGAGCAAAGAGCGAAGAAGTGGGTTTTTCTGGCCGAGGCGGCTGCTGCCCAAGGGCGCTGGCTGGCTGACGACACGGGGCAGAAGGGCACCGTGTAGGCAAGATCCTATATGGGAACGTCGATGAGCAGCCTCATCCGCGGGGTTTGCGGACAGTGAAACGTCTGTGTCCCCATCATCTCCCAGCCTGGCTGAGCAGCACCTTTCAGCAGCAGCGACTTGATCTTGGATGTTGGCCAGTTTATCTTCGGGCTGGTTCTTTACATGCAGACACCCCCATCGTTATTTCCGATTTACGGCTGGTCAGGAACATCGTTATGAGTTTTTATTATTTAGTGCCTCCGTGTCCTGTGGCATTCAGCAGGGTCTGGGTGACGGTGGCAGTCCCTCTTGTGTTGTGCAGGAACGTCACCGTCCTCCTGCCTCTGCAGCTGGCTGGGACAGCGCTCTGCGCTCCTGCCCTCGAGATGCACCTCGTGTCTTCCTTACACTGGAAGTGTTTAAAAGGTGGAACCCATTGTTCTTCTTTTAGCTTTTACCCCCCATCAGGAATCACGCCAGTGAAACAGATCCCATGTTTCTGTGGCTTGTTCTTTATTGTTCATCTTTTTCTAAACGTTTTGAAAAGAACCAGCTGCCCTTGTTAAGGGAACCAACTGCCTCTGTCAGCTCAAAAGGAGGTGCCTGCAGGTGAGCACATCAGGCTACTCTAGAACTCCTTAAATTAGTTCTTTACTAAGATAAATGGTGCCACATGACTGATGCACGAATTTTAAGTTTTACAGGACAAAAAATTAGGATAGTTACTCAGTAGCACTTCAAAACTTAAAACTATTTTCTAATTCACCGCCTCTACCCAAAGAAGGATTTTTTTTCTAAATTATTTATCACTCAAGATGATGTTCTCACGGTGACAACAGAAGCGTGTCACCCCAGCTGTGGGCCACCCTCTGTTTCATTCGCTTTCATTTAACCCCTAACATTCTCGAGCCTGTCGGATTTCTGAGGAGACGCGCCCTGACGACGATCCCGTAGAAGCTTTTCTTTCTGGAGAGTGAACCCGAGTTTCCTTCACCCTCGGTGGCTGCTCACCGCCGTTTCCAGACACGGAGGGGCTGCTCTGTGCTGTGATACGTGCTTAAAAGGGAAGGCCTGTTCTGGCCAGTTGTTTGTGGCTGCACCGTCTTCCAGAGCAAGGCTCAAAGCCGGGGGTTGTTTTTAGACGTTTGAGGTGAGGGTTTATGTAGAGGGGACGGAATGAAGAGGCCGGTTTGACCTTCTGTTGGTAGGGGTGGCAGTTGCTTAGGAAAACAGGGATTTGAAAAACGCAGTAGTGTGTAGAACTTCAGAGACAAAGGAATCTGTGTCGTGATATGAAGAGATTCCTTTGGCTTGTGTACCACCAAAATGCCTTGTGTATAAAGCGCTGAACTTGTTTTTTTTTGTTTGTTTTACCACAGGTTGGTTTGGTTGTCATCCCCGATAGCACAGCTGGATCTGTTCTATGTGCCATAAATAAGCTCTTGGATCAAGCTTGCATCCTCAGTGAAAACCTGCACAAGTTCTTGGCCTCGTGTTGTTACAGTCTGCTGTACTTTCTGCTGACTCTAGACAAAGAGGATGCAGAACATGTACAGAAAAGGTAACGCTGCTTTCCATACTGCATTTGTTGTCTCTGCCTTTACACCCACAGGTATTTAGAGATGTAAAATGAAAGGATCCCCCCTGTTTATTTTGCTCTCTCTTTTGCTTCCTTCAAACAGTACTTGGATTGAAGAAAAACAGTGGCCAAGTGAGCTGGAGTTATTTAAAGCAGTAACTGCAGGCAGCTCCATCTCAGATTGTTCTGGTTAGATGGAAGGTGGCTATTTATGCCTTTAGCTTTAGCTGTTGGTTTCATACTCTGAAAAGCAGAGTGCAAGGGGTTTGGCTTTGTAAGCTCGTACTCTTAACTGACCTGGTATTTCAGCTTTAACAAAACTTCCCCGGCATCATTTTAGAGACTGTAAACCCATTTCATTTAAAACCCAAAAGCTACAGATACCAGATTTAGATAAGTTTATTTACCTGTATAACAGAAATGTCTTTAAATCGTTTAACCTTCAGATTTTCCCTCTAACTGTTCCATGTACAGGAAAGTTGTTCAAAGCCTGAAATTTAAGATGTGTTTTTTAACCTAGAGTTCTCCTTCACTTACTGAATTTAATGACTTACATATCGCCAAAAACCTGATTCCGTTGTTTGATTTCTTATAAATCTGAACTAAAGATTCAGGTGTACCTGAACAGCGACTGGAACAAAAACCTCTTCCCAGCCGCATCAAGCGGAACTTAGACTGTGTAAGACCTTCAGCAACCTTTGTAGCTCCAGAGCAGGACCTGAAATTTTTTCCAGTGCTGTATATAATTTTAGAGTATTTTCAAGTTTAGCATTTTCTGGTACAGATTTTCTGCTTCGGCACTAGTTATGGCGAAGGCGGTTGGCATGATCGAATTCAGAAAGGCACACTCCTTGTGCAGCTCTGAGGCTGGTTCACGGAGGCATACTTGAAATCCGTGTCCTCCATCATTTTGATTTTTCTTTTTTTTGTTTCCTTTCCCTCTCAGGGACATGCTGTGGGGATCATGTATTTCTGCGTTAGCACTCCTGCCACGATTACTGAGACTGATGCTGCAAAGTCTGCAAGTGAGCAGGATCTGCCGGGAAGAACTGCCCGTCGTCGCGCAGCTGCTTCGCTTACTAATGCAGCACGGTCAGCTCAGGAGCCATATGATCACAAACGAGTTTCTGGTGCAACAGATTATCAAGGACATCATGGTATGGAACTTCTTCTTGTCTCCCCCAGATTACAAGGGTGTGCAAGGCTTAAAAATTATCGCAAACAGGAAGAGCAGATGTTTAGCAGAGCACAAGTTACGATTGTCCTTGGGGAGTCCAGGCTGTGTAGGCGGCAGTTGCCTTCGTAACTGGATGCGCTGGAAGCGCGTTACCTACAGAGCCTGCCCGAGGGAGAGCTGTCCCAAACCAAGAAACGAGTTCTGTTTGTTGGAGCAGGGGTATAGAGGTGTATGAAGATGTTATTCATCAGACAAACAGTCTTAGATACGCACGGTACAAAATCTGTTCTCCTTCAAACATCACAAAACCCAGCACTTTATTCGCACACCTGCCTTCCAGTGGGTTTGAGATCACTACAGTCGCTTCTCTCTTCAGGACAGGAATCTGAAACTGCCTTTGCACAAAGCTCCTCCTAGTTCTGAGCGCAGAGAGTTCGTATGTCCCGTGGGTTTGAATATGCCACACTTATCCCAGAGCAGCTTTTAAAGGTCTGTAATGTCCGTGGTGGCCAAAGCTGTGAGAGCATCGTGCAGGTTCGCTGACGGAGCCGGAGGCGTTTGGTTTCCTTTGGTGTTGAAAATGCCTCAGCCTGGGTTTGTGATGTTCCACTGTGGTGGCGTTGGGTTTGTTTCACCGCTTCCGAGTTGACCTACTGGTCCGTGGGCTGTGTTGGTCTGGTGGTAGCAGTTCTCCTGTAGGCTGGGGTATGGAGCGCTCCTGCTTTAGGAGAACCATGCTCATTTGCATTTTAATTGACTATAAATTGCAGAATTGGAAAGTCAGCAAGCCGCTATAATTATGAGTAAGGAAATCACATCTGGTGTCATTCACACACTTCGCAATGTAACACGCCTTCGTGCACCACGTAGTAAGGCTCTATTATTTCAGCTTTAGCACGTTGAAGTCGATAATGAGTAATGTCGCTGTCTGCAGGCCAACGAGGCCGTCCTGCACCTTTCACAGCGCCCCTGATTCACTGTAAAACAAAGCAAAGCTTTGCAAGTACTGGTGGTGAAACTGAATTTT